CGCATGTCGGCATGGACACCATACGGAGCTCGGCGAAGAACGAGGTCGCCATTGGGCTGGACCTCAAGTCGGCAACGGACGCCGACTCCCCGTGTGTTTCGTGCGTCGGCGGGAAACTGACGCGGCACACCTTCCCCGACCAAGGCTCCGACGCCGACGACGTGCTGGCCGTCGTGCACATCGACCTGTGCGGGCCGTTCCGCGTGGCTGCCAAGGATGGTAGCCTGTACTTCTTGCCGCTGAAGGACCGCAAGACCCGCTACGTGTGGGTGAAGCCGGTCGCCAAGAAGTCAGATGCGGTGCAGGCGTTCGTACAGTGGCTGGCGGTGGTTGAGCGGCAGACGAAGAAGTCGGTGCTGATGCTGCGCTCTGACCGGGGAGGGGAGTTCCTCGGGAAGCAGTTGACCGACTTCGTGAACGGAAAGGGGATCGTCCACGACCTGACCTGCCTATACACCCCGCAGCAGAACGGCATGGCGGAGCGAGAGATGAGGACGGTGGTGGAGTCGGTGCGGACAATGCTGCTGCACATGGGCGTGCAGCACCACTGGTGGCACCTCGCTCTCCGGCAGGCCGTCTGGGTCCGCAACTGCCTTGAGCGGTCGACGCTGCCACCGGGGACGACGCCGTACCAGCTGCTGACTGGGAAGAAGCCCGACTTGTCGCTGGCGCGGGTGTGGGGCTGCATGGCGCAGTTCCTTGTTCCTGAGCAGCAGCGTGGTGGGAAGCTGAAGCCGAAGGCCAAGTGGGGCCTGCATCTTGGCGTGTCGGCGGCGAGCAAGGGCTGGGAGCTCCTTGACGTCGCCACTGACCGGGTGGTCACCACGTCGGACGTGGTGTTTTACGAGGAGATGTCGCTGGCCGAGTGGAAGATGGACCATGGGCCGGTGTCCGGCCGCTTGTCGTCCACCCCGCCCTCTGACACCTCGTCGGCGACGCTGCCGCTGCTCGCCGAGGTCGGTAAGCTTGCTACTGAGGACGTCGAGGACGTCCGTCCCCCTGCCCCTCCCCTTTTGGCCGACGTGCGTGGGCTGGCCTCAGTGTCGGCCTCCGGCGATGAGGGGAGTAGTGGGACGCCGCCTTCGGCGCCGGCCAAGTGCATCGCCGGTGGCCGACGTGACGAGCGGCGAATCGACGTGGGATTGCAGTCGACAGGGGAGGAGCAGGTCGAGGAGCAGCAGCCGACAAGGGAGCAGGCTGCCATGAAGCCGACCACGGAGCAGTCGGCGACCGGGCCGTCGGCAGGAGAGCAGACCCCAGGGGAGAAGTCGGCTGGGACGCCGACCACAGGGGAGCAGTCGGCTGGGACGCCGGCTGAAGAGCAGCAGGACGCTGAGGGCAGCGACGATGGAGGGGACGCCGAGGAGGTCCAGCAGGGACCACGGCGTTTGGGCCGACTGCGGAGGCCGCCTGACTTCTTCGTCCCCGCTGCCTTCACCACGGTGTATGACGTGGACGATGACGACGACCTGCTGCACGACGACGCCGAGGAGGATGAGGAGTTTCCGGAGCTCGACCCCGACATGCTAGCCGACCCCGAGCACCGTTGGGACATCTCGACGATGACGGTGAGGGAGGCGTTGGCGAGCTGGAAGGGCCCGGCGGTGAAGGCCGCCATGGAGGAGGAGATTCGCAGCCTCCTCAACATGGGCACTTGGGAGCTGGTCGAACGCCCGCCGGGAGTGAATGTCATGAAGAACCGGTGGGTGTTGACGACGAAGTACCACATCGACGACACCGTCGAGCGAGAGAAGGCGAGGCTGGTCGTGAAGGGCTTCACACAGGTGTACGGCGCCGACTACGACGAGACGTTCGCGCCGGTGAGCAGCTACGTCACGCTGAGGATCTTCCTTAGCATCGTCGCCGTCCTCAACCTCAACCTGATGCAGCTCGACATGAAGAACGCCTTCCTGCAGAGCAAGCTCGATCGGGTGCTGTACATGTCCCAGCCGGACTACTTCAACGACGGAACCGGCCGGGTGTGCAAGCTGCTGAAGAGCCTGTACGGGCTGAAGCAGTCGCCGCTGTTGTGGTACTTGGCGCTCAACGATGTGCTGGTCAGCGCCGGGTGGAAGAAGAGCCAGGTCGACGAGGCTCTTTACTTCAAGATCGGCGAGGGTGGAGTGGCCTGCTGGGTGCTGGTCTACGTTGACGACCTGCTTGCCGCCAGCAGCAGCGCCACGATGCTGAAGGAGCTGAAGGAGCTGCTGGAAGCCGCCTTCGAGCTGCGCGAGATCTCGCCGGTGCAGAAGTACCTCGGGCTAGAGATCGTGCGCGACAGGTCGGCGGGGAAGCTGTGGCTGCACCAGCAGGGCTACGCCGATAAGCTGCGTAGGCGCTTCCTCGACGAGGAGCAGACCGGGCGCACCCCGAAGACGCCGGTCTCGGTCGGTGCCTACGCCGAGCTCACCTTCGATGACGAGGAGGCGCAGGAACGGCAGGAGGAGGAGTACCGGCAGAAGGTCGGCTCGCTGCAGTTCGCGGCGACGACAACGAGGCCGGACGTCACCTTCGCCTGCAGCAAGCTGGGGAGCGGCCTCACGGTGAGGAGCGACCAGCACTGGCGCGAGGTCGACCGCTGCCTCGCCTACCTCGCCAACACACGTGACACCGACCTGGAGTTCGGCGGTGGATCTGAGTCGCTGGAGCTGGTCGGCTACGTGGACGCCGACGACGCCGGTGACAAGCAGAACAGGACGAGCACGGGTGGCTACGTGTTCGTCTACGGAGGGGCTGCAGTCTCCTGGTCGAGCCAGCGCATCAAGTGCGCGACGTTGTCGTCGACCGAGTCAGAGTACGTGGCAGCCACTGAAGCTGGCAAGGAGGGACGCCGCCTTCGCTTCCTCCTCGCAGAGTTCCGGCAGCTGGATGCCGGGAAGCCGACTGTCCTGCGCGTGGACAACAAGTCGGCCATCACGGTCGCCGAGGGCATGGGGTTGACGGGCAACCTCAAGCACATGGAGCGGCGATAGGCCTGGCTGCAGCACATGGTGAGGCGCGGGAAGTTCTCGCTGCAGTACATCCCGACCGCTGAGCAGCCGGCCGACTTCCTGACGAAGGCGCTGCACTATCCGGCCTTCAACCGGTGCTCCGTCGCAATCGGTCAAGTGCGCCTGGCCGACGTGGGCGACGGCGACAACGAAGTGCAGCAGTAGGTGCCATGCCCTTTTGCATGGCTGGTGCGGTGGACGACGTGCTATGTGTTGGGTGCACGTCGACGAAGGAGGGACCGACGTCGACCTTGACGCAGGACGCCGAGCAGTCGGGCGTCGAGTAGCGGGGCGTCAACTTCGTGACGCCAGCTTCGGGTGGCCGACGTGGGTGGTCGGCCGTCGACTGTGCTGGTCGACGAGGAGCAGGTCGACCAGGAGTACTGGTCGACGTGGAGCTGGTCGACCAGAGGGGACGTCGACCTAGAGGAGGTCGACGTGGAGGTGGTCGTCGACTTGGGAGGTCGACGGGCACGAACGGGAGCTGGTGGTCGACGTGGTTGCCTGGTCGACCAGGTTACCTGAGTGACGAAGTGCTGCGGAGGAGTGCGACGGTCGCCCAGGCGAAGTTGGCAAGCCCGACCTCGGTGGTGGTATCCCGAGGTCGACGTGGCCGATCAGAGGCAGTCGTCAGCTCGAGGTTGACGTGGTGTTGTGCGCTGTGCAGGTGACGAGATACTGCACGCCAATCATCTGCGCGCACCTGCGAAGCGGATGCATTGCTGTCCTGCGTGAGCAACGCTGTCACGCCGTCAACCTACGACGTTGGCACGCCGTCGACCTTGCCTTGCTGGAGCGCGGTCGACCAAGTCGTGCTGGAGCGCGGTCGACCAAGCTGCGCTGGCAGTTGGCCGACCTGAATGCTTGCTCTGATGTAGTCTTGCTATGCCAACTTCATTGTATCATTGTTGTCATGTTTTCCTAGTGAAACTCTTGCAAATTCTCCCCGTGAACTAGCAAGGAGCGTGAACACAAGGAGACGACTAAGTGAACGAACGCAGAGATCACACGAGCACACGTGCCTAGCCCGTAGCCTAGCTCCCGTTGCTGCAGTTATCTCCGCAAGAACACGGCGCGAGGTGGGGTGGTAAAACTGTGAACCACGTGCATCAGGGGGGAAGCCAAGGAAGACTCAGGGAATAGCACGGGGGGACAGCTTTTCCGCAGACAATTCGCGGACAAACGCCCGAGATCCCCAGACCCGAAACGCAGACGCATCGCCAACCTTCCCCATCCACCGCAAGGTGGGGGAGGTCTCTGGCAAGGAGACCCGGGGCTGAAGGTTGAGCCGATGCGCCGCGTACTGAACCGCAAACGGCCACAGAAAATGGGGGGCAGCTGCATGGATCATGGACGTACGAGCGACGTCCATGACCATGCCAATGCGGCGCTCAGCAATCCCATTTTGCTGTGGAGAAGGCCGGAAGCGTTAAGGTCTGGCGGATGCCCTGTGCACGACAGAAGGCTCCGAGACGGGCAGAGGAAAACTCCCCGCCTCTGTCAGAGTGCACACGCAGAACAAGAAAGTCGGAGTCGGAACTCTCTCTGAGCTGGAGACGAGCTGCGCGGATCCAGTCGATCAACACCTCAGTGACGTCACCCTTGCTGCGCAAGGGGAAGACTGTGGTGTAACACGAGTAGTCGTCAACGACCAGCACAAAGTACCGCTCTCGCCCCTGCCCACTGACGCGGGCTGGGCCCCACACGTCCATGTGGAGAGTCTGCAGCGGAGCCTCTGTCGGAGGAAACTCGGAGGAGTGAGGGGCGGCGCGTTGTCGCCCCTCGACGCACGGGACACAGGTAGGGCCAGGCCCCGGAGGAAGTGGAGGGAGAGACCGAGGGAGACCAAAGACAAGGACACGGGAGGCCATGCCTCGGAGACGAGGCAAGGAGGGGTGACCAAGGCGATGGTGCCAAAGGAGAGTCTGGTGGGACAGCAGACGACCGTGGAGAAGCGAGCAAGGACAGGACCCCCAGAGGGGTCCGCCAGGGAGACCTGCAATTGGCCGACTAAGCGACGTAAGTGTGGTGCGGTCTCGAAAGAAAGAGCGGGAAGCACCCGAGTCAAGAGTGAAAGTGTGTAAGGCCTGAGCCGACGTGGTACCTGAGAGGAAAGACTCACCAGCACCTGGGGCAGCAGACGCGCTACCACCTAGAGCAGCAGCCTCACCAGCACCTAGAGCAGCAGTCTGAATGCCCGGGTCAGGCGGAACACAGAGGTAACAGTCACCCTCAACACTATCAGCAACAGCATACATGGCAGCAAGAATAGCATCAAAATCAAGATCAAAGATAGCAACCCCCGCCCTAGACAGCTCTCCCCAGCGAGGGATCTCAGAGGCCTTAGGGAACTGGTGATGCCACGCGTCCGTCAGGCGGCCGAAGCAGCGCTGGGTGGAGTGCAGGCCCCCGCACTGGTCACCAGCGCGGTCGCCGGTGCTGAGAACGTAGGTGCAGGGACCCGTACCCCCACCACGCTGACGCGCAGCGTACCACTCACGAAGCTGCTGAGGGGACAGGGTCTCACGACTGCGCTGCTGCTGCTGGCGCGTACCTCCACCGGAGCCACTCCTCTGCGTAGAGCTGCAACCAGATCCACTGCTGCTGCCGCCGCCTCCGCCACCTCCGCTGCCTCCGCCGCCTCCACCACCTCCGCTGCCTCCGCTCCCTCCGCCTCCGCCGCTGCCTCCTCCGCCTCCACTGCTGCCACCGACACCTCCACCCCCGCCACCACTCCCACCACCACCCCCACCCCCTCCACTGCCTCCACCACCACCTCCACCGCCCCTGCCAGCCCCTCCAGCGCCCTTGCCCCCCTTGCCCTTGCCGGTGCGGCGTCTCTCGCTCGGGGCAGACGCATCGCCGACCGACTCGAAACCAACGAGGTCGGCCGCAGCAGTAGAGGCAACAGAGGGCAAGAGGGGGGAGGGGGAACACCCCTCAAAGACGGGGGAGCGAGGGTCACCACGAGAGGCTCCTACAGCGACTATGCTCTTCTCTGCTGGTAGGAGGGCCTTCTCGAGGAGGTCAACGGTGAGAGTGGTGGGGCAAACTGAGAGGAAGTGGTCCTTGACTACGCGGAGAGAGTCAGGGAGCCGGGTGACTATGTAGTAGAGGGTGATGTACATGGGTGGGGGGGGGTTCTTGGCGCAGAACTCAGCAGGAAGCGCAGCGCGGTAGCGAGTGTCACTAGTGCGGAGGTGCGTAATGAGGTCAGCGACTGTGGGAAAGGCAGCAAAATCAGGGAAGTGGTACGGTAGCATGAGGCGGCTCAGTGCAGCAGTGGCAGGGGAAGAGTAGCGTGCAACTACAGCGTCGTACAAGGTCTGAGCACTCTTGTACTGGCTAAAGTGTGCACGCTTAGTGGTCGGTAAGTGGCGACGCACAGCAAGGCGAGCAGTAGCATCGCGTGTGGCCCACTGTGAGCGAACAGTGGTGTCAGCAGTAGCAGGCGGGGCAGGATAGGCACCAGAGGTGAGATCGAATAGAGAGAGTCCGTCTGCCCTATCGCACTGGAGAAACAGCTGGAGGTCATCGACCCAGACCTCAAAGTCAATGGCACGGCCCTCAGCATCAAAAGTAAGGACACTGGGGGTAGCCAGTGACTGTAGTGGCCTAGTAGGGAGTGAGCTCACTAGTCCGAGGAAGGAGGGCCGGGGCGCACCGGTAGGAACAGCAGCGGCTCGATAGTAGGGCGGCTCGACGGCTCGGTGGCAGGGCGGCTCGGCTGCTTGGCGGCTCGGCTGCTGGGCGGCTCGGTGGCTCGGCGGCTCGGTGCTGGGCGGCTCGGCTGCTGGGCGGCTCGGCTGCTGGGCGGCTCGGCTGCTGGGCGGTTCGGTTGCTGGGCGGCTCGGCTGCTCGACATGTGGGCGGCTCGGCGGCTGGGCTTCTCGGTGGCTCAGTCGCTGGGCGGCTGAGCGGTGACAGGGCCGCTAGGGGAGGGCGACGGGGTCGCAAGTGTTGGCGACGGGGCCGCAGGTGGCGGCGATGGGGCCGCAGGTGGCGGCGACGGGGCCGCAGGTGGCGGCGACGGGGCCATAGGTGGCGGCGACGGGGCTGCAGGTGGCGGCGACGGGGCCGCAGGTGACGGCGACGGGGCCGCAGGTGGCGGCGACGGGGCCGCAGGTGGCGGCGACGGGGCCTCAGGTGACGGCGACAGGGCAGCAGGTGGCGGCAACGGGGCGGTAGGTGGCGGCGACGGGGTCTCAGAGGGGCGGCAGAGGAGCCGCAAGGGGCCTAGACGGAGCCAAAGAGGGGCCGAAAGGGGCCTAAACGGGGCGGCGACGGGGCCGTAAGTGGCCGGAAAGGGCGCCGCGAAGGGGCCGAAAGAGTGCCCTAGGGCAGGAATTAAGCGTGCTCCGGGCAGGAAAAAAAATATCATGGTGGGCCCTAGGTAGCGTTCCCATTAGGGAGCCTGCTCTGATACCATGATAAGAAACGAGAATGGATGCATTGAGCAGAATGAGAAGTACAAGTAGTAAACCCAAAAGTGTTGTACCCCATATGAACCGCCCCACTACAGCCTACACAGACTATAGCATATATGCCTAACTAGGAGTCCTCGTCGAGGGTCTCACGTGTGCCGGGCACCATCGTAAACCTCTTCATAAGGTTGTAGCTGCGCGGCAGGCCCTTGAGGACGTGGGTGATGTAGGTTGCCGTCGAGTATTCGGCGCTCACCATCCTCATCTCAGCTAGGATCCGTCGAGCACGATTGCAGTAGTCCGTCGCCGACTCCTGCTCACCCATCTGAATGTGAGTCATCTTCTCCTCTAGCTGTCCGATGTACAAGTCGTCCATGGCCTGGTACGTCGACAAGGATGAAGCGCCATGCCTGGTGACCAGCATCCAGTCGCTCTCGACTGCTTCTGAGCGCTAGCTGCACCACCGGCGAGCAGCACCTCGAGATGACCATGAAGGTGAGCAGCTGAGCAGAACGAAACTCCCCGCGCAGCTCGACATCCTCCTCGGGCAGAATTGGCACGGTGCCGTCGGCGAAGCCCTTCAGCCCGGCGACCTCCAGCTGAGGTTCGATCGACTCCCTCCAGGTGATGAGGTCCCGTCGACCTTGCAGCAGTGCGACGGTGATCCGGTCCGGTGAGAATTTGAAGTAGCCATACGCCGGTGCAATCCCACCTGCAGTCACATGCGTCGTCACCAAGAGCCCTCCACCGCTTCGTAGAGGAGAGCGACGTCGAACATCAACGCCGGCACGCGAGCTGCCTGCAGCCGCCGTCGGCCGCTACACTCGCGCCTAGATTCCGTCGACACCACCGTCGACCTTGATCACCCCTCTTTGCCTCGTGCCTTCGCTGCCGTTGACTCGTGCACCACCGTTGACCTCGTCGTCGACGCCACCTTCGTTGCGCACCGGTCGAGGAGAAGCAGGACGGGAAGGGTGTTCCGTCGCCCACTGCGATCGGATGCCCAACTCGGCGATGACCAAGGGGATCGTCCCATACTCGCCATCCGCGTGGCGTCTCCTCGCGTCAGCCAAACGTGCCTCCAAGGTGTCCGCTACGCCCGCATCAACTAACGGGGTCGACCATGGCGACTATCGCTGCTGCCGGCCTACGAACGACTTAGTAGGTGGAAAAGTCGGCTCCTATCTGAAGGTCGCGTGTTGGATCCACGCTCACCGCACCATGTGGAGAGTCACTTTACAACGGTAGTGAGCTAGACTACGGGGGTTGGCATGAACTACTAGAGGTGATCGTAGCTTTGCTTGGTTCCTTAGTGCTTGCACATTCACGGGAGAAATCAGCAAGAGTTTTCACTAGCAAAATTGGAATTACAGAATAATCATTGAAGAAGCAATGACAAAATGACTACATCAGGCACCTAGCAGCCCTGCGGCTAGCCTGGTGGACCGCCAGCACAGCTTGGTCGACCGCCTGCCAGCGTTGCGTAGAGGAGCCGCGTAAGCACTGCGAAAAGGCGACCTGCCAACAAAGCAGGTCGACGGCGTGCCAACGGCTGCAGCAGAGTGGCTGTCCAGCGTTGCCCCGTAGAACAGAGCAGTGCGCACGCTCGCAGGTGCGCGCAGATGATTGGCCTGACTTGCCTCGTTGGGCATTCGTCGGCTGTTGTCTGCGCCTGACGAGCCACATCGACTTCGGGATACCAGCCCGAAGTCGCCTGCGCCATCGCAACCTCGACGACGTTCGCGTGCCTCCGCAGAACTCGTCGAGCAGGTTACCCGGTCGACTCAGATGACCACCAGGTGCTTCTAGTCGACCACCACTGCTTTTGGTCGACCCCCAGGTCCCTCTGGTTGACCACCAGGTGCCTCTGGTCGACCACAACTCCCATCGAAGCTACCCCTTGGTCGACGGACCCCTTCCGTCGACCAGAACCATCAGCGGTTGTCGCCGAGCTCCCCTCGTCGACCGCTGCTGACTTGTCAGGTCGACGGATTGCTCCGTCGACCTCCAGATCGAATGGCAGGTCGACGGGATGCTCCGGAGACCTCCCGGTCGAGCTGCAGGTCCTGGTCGACGTCCCACCCGTCGCCTAGACCAGTCAGTTGCAGCTGTCGAGCTCCCTTGGTCGACAGCAACACCACAGCGGTCCCCTGCAGCTCGACAAAGCATGTCGTGCAGCTCTCCCACTGTGAACGGTCGGCTGCTACTCCTGTACATCCGACCAAGTCGTCGGCGTTGCCCAAGCGAGGGCGGGGCCAACACTCCATTCCTGTTAACAGGTTCGTTAGGGTCCGTCAAGCAGGTCAGCCCACGAAATTCTTGCCGAGCCTATGATTCCTGTCCGAACCAAACGGAATCATGTTGGCCTGTCGAACGCCCTCCTTTTCATTCATTTAGAATGGAATCGTGAAGGTAGGAAAGTGGGTCTGGAGCTTGCTCTACAGGCAAACCTTGGTCCCGTTGCCATTCCATCGCCATTCATCCCCCCAAGCAGAATCGCCTTGGAATGGCCATGGGATTGGGAGGATGTGGAGGGGGGGAAACGGGGAATTGGAAGGTGGGGAGGGTGGTTCCTGATCCCGTTGCCACCCTTCCCCTTTCTGGCGCGAAATTTCGTGATTTGGCCATTCCCCCCACGCCTATTCGGGAGGTTCCTCCTCTGGTTCGTGATTTCACGGCCATTCTGAGGCCCTTCTTTTTTTAGATGTGCTAGGCAAACAGCGCCCCTGTGTACAGACTGGGTGTGAAGGACACGGGTGGGGCGCACGAAGGGCTTCAAATACTGGCTCTGCTCGACAGGCAGCCTATCCCTTGCTGGGCTAGCGTTAGGCTAGTGCTACGAGGAGGTTTCAGGGGAACTTCCATTGGGCTAACCCTCGCCCGACCAAATCGGAAGCTGCGCTGTTCAATATCGGAAGGAGGGGGTCGTCAGGGCGCGGCTGGGTTCCTCCTTCCACCATCCTGTCAGTGGGCACGATTCAAAACTTTCGAACGCATGCCATTGGAACAAGGGCACAATCCAGTGGCCCTAAAGAAAAAAACTTACGGTTGGTTAGCCGTCGGGAGGGAGGGGACGTTTTTTGGGCAGTACTGGAAGATTAGAGCATGGGGAGGGGTGGGGAAAGTTTGAGGGAGTAAGATTTGAGTATCCTCTGCAAGGGCAATCCGTAGCCCATCTCTTGGCCAACCCCCAGTTTGGCATGGCGAGGGTTGGGCTGGAGGTGGGCTCGACAGCTTGCCAGTGCGCGAAGAAAGTTGGAACTTTCGGGGGTCACTAACACTTCTCGTAGATGGGGTGTTTGATAGGCAATGGAGGGTTAGTCTGGTTCAGGAGGGTTTGCTAGGTTCGGCAACCATTTGGGGGCTGACCATGAAAAAAAACTAAGAATCGAAACAACCTCGATAGTTCCGCGGAAGGGCTTGGCTGCCTGTCGAGCAGGGCCACTATACAGTACAGTACTGTCGATGGTGTTTCAGGTGCTCATTATTTTTACGTAGGTGGACATTTTCTCGCATAACACTTGGAAGTCCATAATTTGGGGGAGTGTATTTGGTTTAGAGAAAGCTGAGTTACTATGTAAGCATGTGTAAGGAAATTAAAAAAGCCCTACTCTGTCACTCCGTACGCGTATGGTACATTTCCAACTTTCGGTCAGACTACCTCGCCTCCCAAACGGACTGGGGATAGTCACTACCAGGGCTAATTTTTGGTTTTCAGCAACCCTTGTGATCAGTGTTGCACAAGTAAAAAAACCTGATTATCAGTGTGACATATTGTTCAAACCCTGATCCATCAGGGTTTTCCTAGTTTTTGAAAATTATACCCTGTAGGATCACTGTACCAGTTTTGCAAACCGGGTGTGTTGATATTATCGTTGGCAGGCAATAACGAAACTGTATTTCTGGCCAATGGAGGCCGCCCTTGTGCCAGCTCAGATATTGCCTTTGCCAAATTTCAGTTTCGACAATTGGCACGTGAGAACCTCGGGTTACGTGAAATGGGGGGTGGGGTAGAGGGAGGGGGGGGGCTTGGGGAGGGTATATACTCAATTCAGAGTAAAACACGTTACGAAGATCGATAACCCTGGGCCGTCAGTGTACTTTCAACGTAAACCCTAGCCTATCAGGAAAATACAAGCTCCTGAACAAATTACCTTAAGGCATCAGTGTGACAGCCAAAAACTACACCGATTATCAGGGAATCAGGGTGATTTACCCTAATAAAAATAGCCCTAGTCACTACACAACGAGACTGAACAACGGTCTAGGGCACAGGCTTGTGCGAGTGATCGTAGCTTACACTAGCGTTATTACTTCTTACTATGTTCACAGAGAAGGTTTGTGTCAAATGCTGTAGTCTTAGTGATGTGTATTATAGGGGGTACAACCAGGCAGAATGGAATGGGAGCCTGGTGTTAAGAATTGATAAGCAGGAATGATG